TTTTTTAGAAAAAGTTTCAAAAATTCATCACGTAGTCAAGAAACTATTGTTTATGTCTGAAAGTCAGGGATGTAATTACCAAAGAAACAAATGTTACTTTTTTAAGAAAAAGTTTCAAAAATTCATCACGTAGTAGAGAAACTATTGTTTATGTCTGAAAGTCAAGGATGTAATTACCAAAGAAACAAACGTTACTTTTTTTAGAAAAAGTTTCAAAAATTCATCACGTAGTCAAGAAACTATTGTTTATGTCTAAAAGTCAGGGATGTAATTACCAAAGAAACAAACGTTACTTTTTTTAGAAAAAGTTTCAAAAATTCATCACGTAGTCAAGAAACTATTGTTTATGTCTAAAAGTCAGGGATGTAATTACCAGAGAAACAAATGTTACTTTTTTTAGAAAAAGTTTCAAAAATTCATCACGTAGTCAAGAAACAGTTATTTGTGCATAAAAGTCAGCCATGGTGGTGTAATTACCAGAGAAACAAACGTTACTTTTTTAGATAAAGTTTTCAAAATTCATCACGTAGTCGAGAAACTATTGTTTATGTCTGAAAGTCAGGGATGTAATTACCAGAGAAACAAATGTTACTTTTTTAGATAAAGCTTTCAAAATTCATCACGTAGTCGAGAAACTATTGTTTATGTCTAAAAGTCAGGGATGTAATTACCAGAGAAACAAATGTTACTTTTTTTAGAAAAAGTTTCAGAAATTCATCACGTAAGTCAAGAAACTATTGTTTATGTCTGAAAGTCAGGGATGTAATTACCAGAGAAACAAACGTAGTCAAGAAACTATTGTTTAGGCACCAAATGATTTATGAATAAACGAAATTTCATTTCTCATGAAAAACTGTAAAAACAGACGAGATAATTCATTTTAAATTAAAGATTTTTATACTTCTCTTAAAACTTTTGGTTTCAGACGAGCCGCTTTACCACTAAACGGTGGATTAATTGGATTTTTAATTTTCTTCTGTGTTTACTATCGTAACGAATTATTATTTGTATGCAGAATACATGCTCCAAGTGTTTGCAGTTCAGTAACTAAATCTTTGTACACTGTCCAATAATGTTTTGAGCTACTTTGAGCTACAGGGTTATTTATAATTCATGCAACATTGTCGAAGCATCACGAAGACTGAAAAGTACGTGAATAATGTCATGCAAAATAAATATATTCATGACAAAAACATTTAGTGTCGCACTATTTGACCACAAGAGGGTTGTTCAATAATGTCAACTGCTATGCTTCCAGTCTGAAATAATAGTTTCACTAATTCGTTACTTATATATTTGTGAAACAAAGCCAAAGATTTAATCTGGCTACTGTTGATCTTGGACTTGTACCTCTGTCAGGGTGCTTGTCAGCAAAAGCAGTAGCTGTTGCACCACTGTTACGTCAATTTTTGTCATTCAGTATAATTAGTTCAGTGTAAGCTACAAGTGTAATAAGCTTTGAAATGCTGCTGAGAGTATTGAAGAAGTAGAGGGATCCAACTTCATTATACTTAATCAGCCCTCTGGTGAAGAAACAGTGCGACCTACAGTGTTTCTGTCATGGAAGAAGCAGAGGGATCTAACTTCATTATACTTAACCAGCCCTCTGGTGAAGAAACAGTGCGACCTACAGTGTTTCTGTCATGGAAGAAGTAGAGGGATCCAACTTCATTATACTTAACCAGCCCTCTGGTGAAGAAACAGTGCGACCTACAGTGTTTCTGTCTTGGAAGAAGTAGAGGGATCCAACTTCATTATACTTAACCAGCCCTCTGGTGAAGAAACAGTGCGACCTACAGTGTTTCTGTCATGGACGTTTTTATTTGCTTATGATCCTCCAGTGTTTTGCAATGCCCCAACAATGATGCGCGAATTATGAATCACGCTGAATACAGGCATCCCGAACAAAAGATAATGTTGAACACTAATACGTTTTTATGTGAATGTAACTTCACCGATATAGAAGCTTCAATACTAAACAAAACTAAAGCTATATTTCCTAGCAAATTAGTAGTTAAGAAAACGATATTCTTTTTGAAAGGATCTGTCTTCTCTGTCGACAGGAATTTAATTAGAAAATTCTTCTTCCTCGAGTGGTATATTCCACAAATAGCATGCTAGTTATAAATAGGTGAGAATATAGCATAATGAAGCTGTTTTCCTAAATAAATTAATTTCATGAAAATGACTGATGCAAAACAATAAAGTAAGACGATATAGGTATCGAGATATTGCTTTGATAGACAGTATTTACCATGTTACAAACTTCTTTTCTCTACTATAGTTCAATGTTTCTTTACCAGGTGAAGTTGAACTTCGCGTTGATGGTAATGATAATCACTCCAAAGGTAGCTCGCCAAGCATTCGTGATGTTAATACTTGAAGTAATTTTTATATGTTTTGTAAATAATTATATTCAATTCTTTCATTAACGTTCGTTTCATTACTATATTGGTTATATGTTTAATATTCTTGATTTTTTAATTATCTATCTTTTCATTAAAACTTTCGTTTGCGCCGTTAACTTAATATATGGATTTAGGACAAACCTAAATCTTTCAAACTGATCGAAACACATAGTATATTGTTGAGTTAATTGCCACAAATATCGCTTACAGCGAGAGTATCCACCTAATCACTATACATTTTTGTTTTATGTCATTGTATACTCCAGTTTAGAATGATATATTAAACTATATATATTAACTGCTGGGTTATTTACAGATCTTATCTATGGAGGTCGTATGCTAATGCTATTTACTATGGAGCATTAGTTCCAACAATTAACCGCAACCTGCGAAGTAAAATGGTAGAACTTTTTTACAGATATAATAATTATTTCTGACTGTTCAATATTACATTTAGCATATATAATAATAGTACATACACTTATTAACCTTCATAATCACAAAATTTACAAAACTGGATTTCGTAGGGCACTTCCCACAGAGCGCCAGATTACTTCATTTATACATAACATTTAATAGAAGCTCCCCAACATTCTGGATGTATCATACTCTTAGAGCAAAAATAACATTAGTTTTCAAGCACTATGATCCCCATTGAATCACACGTTGTGTGTGTGTTCAAGCTGAAGCTAATTCCTTGTTCCAGAAGAGACGTAAAAAACAATAGCTGGAGAAACCATTGCTTATCTGACAATCGCAAACATGTTTCTTCAACATCAATTTAGAACAAAAAATTGTTTATCATAATGAACAAGTAATGGGCGTGTTTAAATAACACTTGTTAAAATAATCGATTTAGAGAAACTAGTAGAAAATGTGGCCAACAGAGCGCAACACTCTACGCCAACACAATGAACTAATCTTTTTTTTTTTTTGCTTTGCGTTATAGTAATTACACAAATGGATAAAACTACACATTACTATTAAGTTTAGTCTACTTCTACAAATGTTTCTGAGAGAAGTATTTAAAAATTTCAATGAATGAAATATACTCTATTTATCAAAAGAAATGAAATTTTGTAAGATCAGAATACAGAATATTTGTTACCTAAAATAATGATTAACATTTTAACTTTTTTTTATATAGCTACCAGTCGTCCTCATCTTCCTGTGTTGTTAATTTTTGTTGTTGCTGTTTCATAATTCTAAAAGTAAAATTAGTTGAAAATTAATACTGTTAGCAGTGGGTTTAGCAGAGGGAGGAACCCTAACGTCAGTCTTTCCAGTTAGTGTTGAATCTTATGACTACGTGATGAAATTACGTATGTACTGTCTTGGTTAACATGGAATCTGACATTTTAACACGTAAAAAAGTAAGACATTTTATGTGTGTTGGGTATTTGGTAATGCGTGTTTAAAACAATAATGGTTCACCATATGACTACACTGATGCGAAGAAGTTGACCTAAAGCAAGGGGTCGAGCATGGCCCAATGGGAATCCAATGGTTCGTGGCTCGCGGTTTATAGCTACAAAAATACACTCTGCATTTTGGGACCATACATACATATTCTATAAGAGTAACGTCAAATCCATCTATTTGGTCAGTTTAGAGTAGCTCAAGAGTTGACGATCGATGATGCTGACTACCTGGCTTCCACCTAGT